TCTTTTTTACCTCCGGTGTCGGTTTCTCAATTCACGGTACCTGTATTACTGGGAGGGGGAAACAAACAACGAAAGGTGAATGCGTTGATAGATAGCGGAGCAGCGGGGAATTTCATACATGCTGATCTCGCTACCCTAATGGGTCTGCCCCTGCAGAGGATTGCTTCCCCTATTACGGTTCACGGAGTCACGGGGGAACGGATGGTGGGGGGAACAATCCATCAGCGTGCTGGTCCTATGGTGATACAGGTGGGGGTTCTCCATAGGGAGGAGATTGAGGTCTTTGTCCTCCCTCAAGCAAAGGATCAGCTGATCCTTGGGCTTCCTTGGCTGAGAAAGCATAATCCCCATTTGGATTGGCGAACCGGGGAGATAGTAGCGTGGTCTGACCAATGCCGACATAATTGTATGTCTCTTCCCTTAAAAGCTACCGGGATAGAAAGCCCTGAGCCAGAGAACCTTGAACTCATACCACGGGACTATCAAGACTTTAAAGATGTGTTCAGTAAGGAGAAGGCGTTTAATCTCCCCCCTCACCGGGAGTGCGACTGTGCCATTGACCTACTAGAGGGCGCTAACATACCCCGTGGCAGGTTGTACCCGGTTTCCCTACAGGAAGAGGAGTCCCTGGAGAGCTACATCTGCGAGGGGTTGAAACAGGGGATTATCCAGCCATCCACCTCACCGGTGGCGGCAGGGTTCTTCTTCATCAAGAAGAAGGACGGGGGGCTCCGACCGGTCGTGGACTACCGAGCCCTGAATGCCGTCACCATAAAGAGGAGAGAACCACTGCCACTGATTCCTTCCGCTTTGGAACAGCTCCGAGAGGCCGTGATTTTCACTAAGCTGGACCTGCGCAGCGCTTACAACCTGGTGAGAATTCGGGCTGGCGATGAATGGAAGACCTCGTTCATCACCAGTAGGGGGCAATACGAATACCTCGTGATGCCCTACGGTTTAGCTAATAGTCCCTCTATTTTCCAGTCGTTCATGAATAGAGTCTTCCAAGACATGCTATACAAGTGTGTGGTGGTTTATATTGACGACATTCTGATTTACTCGCCTTCTAAGCAGGAACACGTACGTCACGTAAGACAAGTGTTACAGCGGTTGCGAGAACACCAGCTGTATGTGAAAGGAGAAAAATGTGAGTTTCACCAAACCTCTGTGAAATTCCTCGGATACGTCATTCAACCAGGAGCTGTGGCGATGGATGACCAGAAGATATCGGCGATACAAGCGTGGCCCCAACCCAGAACCATCAAGGACCTGCAACGTTTTCTCGGGTTTGCCAACTTCTATCGAAGGTTTATTCGTAATTATAGTAGAATCGCCGCCCCTCTCACCTCACTCACCAGGGGAAAGCCAACTAAACTCCGCTGGTCTCCTGAGGCTGCCCAAGCTTTTGCCCGGTTGAAGCAAGTCTTCTGTTCGGCTCCAGTATTAAAGCAACCCAATCCGGAATTCCCTTTTGAGGTCGAAGTGGATGCTTCCGAAGCCGGTGTGGGGGCCATACTGATACAACGAGACCCAGAGACTGGTCGACGACATCCGTGTGCGTATTATTCGAAGAAACTGACCTCAGCGGAACGAAATTATGAGGTAGGAGATCGAGAGCTTCTCGCCATCAAGTTAGCCTTAGAAGAGTGGCGCCACTGGCTGGAGGGAGCTCGGCACCCGTTCATGGTGTTAACAGACCATCGTAACTTAGAATATCTGCAATCAGCTAAACGACTTACCTCCCGTCAAGCTCGCTGGGCGCTGTGGTTTGCTCGATTTGCGTTTCGGGTCAGTTATCTGCCGGGTAGTAAAAATGTGAAAGCTGACGCTCTGTCACGGCAGTTCGACCCCCCGGAAAGCACCGAAAGCTCTTATCCTATTCTTCCTCCCTCATGCTTTGTTTCTTCTATCACTTGGGGATTAGAAGACACCATTAGAATAGAGAACGAGAATCGGGCGCCCCCGGCGAACTGTCCACCTGGTTTGTTATACGTGTCTCCCGTCCATCGACAAGACCTGCTGCGCTGGATTCACGCTCAACCAGGGACCGAGCACCCCGGGGTGCCCGG